AAATGACTGGAAATGATCTGATCTTACACAAGATGAATTAGAGTCAGCTATTTTCTCAAGTTCTGTTAAAACTGCTGCAGGTTCTGATTCAATTAATCACTTGATTATTCAGAATACATATTCCTACTTAAAGAATGAATATTTTGAGCTTTTTTTCAATCTCTTGAAAAATGAATATCATTCTGAATGCTGGAGAGAAGTCACTGAAGTGATTCTTACAAAACCTAATAGAAAAACTTCAATTTCTAAGTCATATAGAGTAATATCTCTATTGAACTGCCTAGGAAAGGTTTTAGAAAAGATAATAGCTACTTGACTATCTTTTATAAGCTCTATAGATAATTCTCTTTTATTCAGTGAACAAATGAGAGATAGAAAACAGTGTTCTGCAATTGACACTATTCTCTCAGTTGTTCATGATATTCAAATAGCAAAGCATGAGAGTCTGGTCTCAACTGCAGTTTTCATTGATATAAAAGAAGCATTTGATCATGTTTCAAAGTCAAAGTTAATTCAGACATTGAAAATATTAAAACTGCCACTTTCTCTAATAAAATGAGTTAACTGTTTTATATCTAAAAGAAGTATACAACTCTTCTTTGATGGAATGAAACAAGACAAGACTGAGATAAAAATAGAAGTATCACAGAGATCTTCAATCTCACTCATTTTATTTGCAATATACACTGCATATCTATTTAAAAATAGAAATATGAGAATAGTGTGATCTCTGAGTTATATGAATGATATTGATCTAGTCTACAGCTTAAAAACTATCAAAGAGAAGTTGAAAGTAATTGAAGAAGCTGTAAAGAAAATCTTTGTTAGAGCAGATATCAATCAAATTCAATTTAATATGAATAAAACTGAGTTAATTCACTTCTTTCTGAGATTCAATGAGAAAGGACTATCTCTAACTCTTTTAAATGAAGAGATTAAACCCAGTATAAATATCAAATGATTAGAAGTATGGTTAAACTCCAAGTTGAATTTTAAATATCACATTCAACAAAGAACTGTCAAGGCAGAAAGACTATTAAACAACATAATCAGACTATCAAATACAGAGAGAAGTCTATTCTTCCAGGCTATGAGACAGTTATATATAGCCTGTATTACATCAGTAGCTGATTATAAAGTTCAAGTTTGATGAAATAATTAAGGGAATTTCACTGAACTCTTTCAAAGTCTGTAAAACAGAGCCTTGAGAAGAATTCTGAGAGCATTCAAATCATCTTCTATTAAAGCAATGAAAATTGAAGCTTCAATTCCTTCTTCTGCTATTAGATTTGAAAAGGCCTGTATGAACTATGCTCTGAGAGTTGTAAAGATAAGCTTAAATCATATAATCAGAGAAAGAGTCTCTTCTTCATTTCCATCAATTAACTCTGATAATGAACTGAATTGAAATAGATTTCTTGATTGAAATGAAAATAACTCTTCAAAGAAAATGTCTTCTCAACTGTACAGACTATGCTCTCTGATTAAAAATTAATTTTCTTCTTTAAATATTGAAAAAGTTGATCATGAGAAGTTATCTCTCTGAAGAGAAAAGCTTGAATCTCTTATAGACTTATAAATAAGTGAACTATCAAAAGAGAAAGAATATGAACAGCATTTGAAGAGAATTTCTACAATTAATATAAAAGACTCTATTCTGATTTATTCAGATGGCTCAAAAAATGAGAACTTGAATAGATTAGGCGCAGGAATTGCTTATACTGAAGATAATATCAATTTTATCTCAGATTTCTGAAATCTAGACTCTGAATGTGAAGTCTTTGATGCTGAACTATTTGCAATAGTGAAAGCTTTCAAACTCATTGAAATAAAATCTCATAAAAGAGGAAATTATTTGAAAGAGATATGAATATTCTCTGATAGTCAAGCTGCTTTAAAAAGACTTAGAAATAGTCAGATTTATAATGATTAAATGAATCTTGAACTGATCTTAAACTCTATTTTGAAAATTCAAAATAGAAGAATATCAAAGCTGATAATTCATCTGCACTGAGTTCCTGCTCATATGAATATTCATGATAATGAATTGGCTGATTCAGCTGTAAAAAAGGGTGCAGAATTAAGCAGATCTATTTAAAAAATTATGTCCTGATCTTTTATAAAGAGAAAAATAAAAGAATCTTGTTTAGACAAGTGAAATGAAAGCTGGCAGAAACAAAAGAAGAGTATACATTATTCAAGATTTGAAACAAAACCCAAGTGAAAATCTTGTTTAATTAAATGTAAAAAGAAAATATTCTCATCTATAATACAGCTGAAACTAGAACATGGCTATTTCAAATCTTATATACAAAGATTTAATGATAGATTTGACTTAATAGAATGCTTATTCTGCAATACAAATGAGAATTCTGAGCATATTGTAATGCACTGTGTATTATACAATAGTCTCAGAGTCAGATTGAAAGAGAAGTATAATCTAAATTAATTAAATATGAGATTCTTATTCTCAACTGAGACAGGAATTAAATACTTAATAGACTTTCTATCAGAAACTCAAGCAGCTATAAGAAAATGACTAAATTCAGAATTATCTGAATATGAAGAGAAGGAAATCAATCAGATATAGTCTGTTAAAACAGCTATACACTTTCTTTTAATAATTTGTTTTGTTATAGTCTCTCTTTACTTTATCTTTTTCTTTATCTTTTTCTTTCAATTTCTTTCTATCTATCTATTTAATGTGTCTATCTTTGAGACTGTGTTCTTTTTCTCTTTTCCTTTGTCATGATATTATCAAATGATTTCAAAGTATCAAAAGATGTTAAAACACTGTAATTTATAAACAGTTTTTGTATTCTGAGCTGGAATTTTCTGATTTTGCATATCTGAAATTGATGAATGTATAATAGTTAACTTTACAGACATAGGAAAAACCCTGAGAACTAAAAGTTCTCAGGTAGATGTTATAGTCTCTGACTGCATACATCTATAATTAAAGAATAATAATAATAATAATAATAATAATAATAACTCTATACTGCTTGAGCATCTAGACTTCTTATCAGAGCTGACACAATGTCTTTCTGTGAGATAATACTTACAGAGAGACAGAAGTCATTATTGCAGACACAATGAAAATAATAGAAGTGAGAGAAGAAGTAAGTGTATAAAATCTCTTTCTTCTTCAGCTGCTTAACACAGTGCAGACAAGTAGTAGTGTCAGTCAGAGACTGCATCAGAGCCTTCTTATAGAGAGAAGATAAAGAAACTGTGAAACTCTGCAGACTTAACTCAGCAGCATTCTGAGCAGAACTCAGACATATCACAGAAGAGAAACTATAGATTAAGTTTCTCAGAGTCACTGTCTCTGAAATCAAGCTCTCTCTGAGATTCTCTCTGAATGACTATATAGAGTCATACATCACTGTGTTAATTGAGAGAAGAAACAGTGTTGTAATAATAACAGAGAGAGTAGAGAAAGAACTGAATACAGATAAACTGACTGACAGAAGAAATGACATCTCACTGCAAGATATGACAACTATTATCATAACTGTAAGAGAAGCAGAAGAAGATGTGACAATGAGAGTGATACTTCTACAGCTCATTGATACTGCTGTCTTCATCTTCAACCTAACTTTCTTAATAGTTATGAAGACTGCAGCTGCATCATAAAGACATTTACTCACTAGAAAATATCAGAATAAGTCTCTTATTATCTTTCAAGAATAATACTCTCATACACTCACTATTACAGATGAGAAGAGGAGAGAAAAATATATTATAGAGAGAGAAGAAATCTTTTTGAAAAATTCTGTTACTACTGTTAGCTTTGTCTCTAAAATACATCACTTTTGCAGAGAATTTCATATATAGAACAGAATATGATAAGAGATCTATAAGTCACTTATTAACTACATTTTTCACATTTCAAATTAATATATAAGAAACTTACTTATTACATGTTTAATTTGAATAAAGATGAGAAAGAGAAGATCTACACAGTCAGCAGAAGAACTTATCTATTTCTTTATATTATATACAGTATACACACTGTCAATCAGTTGATAATTATTACTATATAACAAAGATAATTTCTAATTCAGTAATCTTAAGAGTATAGAGACTATATTCTTAAAGAAAAGAGTATTATTATACTCTCAGCTGTATTAAGACTCTGTTACAGTTTCACACAGCTTATTACTTTTATACAAATGATTTCATCTCATTCAAATCAGTTTTTAATTACTCTATAATATCATTTAGATATATTATAGAAAGATTTAATTAATAAATATAAGAATCTCACTTTAATACAAGATTAGCAGATTACTCTTTCTTAATAATAAAATACTGCTAAGATATCACTCTGATTATTCTTACTTATAAAATAAGAGAAGAGTATTCACTTATTATCTATATAGAATAGCTAGATGCTGACTTCTTATTAAAGAAGTTAGTGATTTATTTTTTCTTCAACTGAAATATATACAAGAGTTACTGTGTGTCTTATACAATCTTCTTAGTATACTAAGTATCATATCTATAATATTCTCACAATAACTCTGTAGTCTATGAGCTCACTATTTAAGTAAGATAGTTAAGCTCACTTATACAGCTTCTTAAACAACTATCTTTATATGACACCGCTGACTAGCCACCGCTTCGGTTTCATCACATTACATCAGTTAACAATCAATTCAGTGTAAATTATGTAAATACTTATCTCATTGTCAGATTTAAGAACAATCTCAGTATCAGAAGAAGAATTGTAATTATTAATAAAATTAGTAAAGTCTTCTCTGTGTATAAAGATTATGATAAGAGAAAAGAATTATTCTACAATCAATTAAAAATTGATTGTAGAATTGATGATAAATAATTAAGAAAGAAAGAGTGGTTTCAAATTACAAGAAAAGATGTATTGTGCTGCAATTTGTGCGAGGTTGGGTAGTGGCACGGGCCACATTTGCGAGGTCAGCTTACATAACGAGGTCAAGTGGCGCACTTAGCGAGGTCAAGTTTTCTGCTTCCTGTTGGGGTTGTTTGCATTTACGCTGTACAGCGTAGGTTCCCAAATTGGCGCCCCCCTTCCCTCGCTGAGTCGCTGCCCTCGTGTCGCTCGTTTCGCTTCCCCTTGCTAGCTGCATAACTACTCCCTCGCTGCCTTTTTGTTGCCGCCGCCGGTTGCCCCTCTTCCGTCGTGGGTTGCTTATATGGGGCTTCTTCTTCTATGATCTTGTGCTGGGCGTAACTATATATAAGTCATCGCCTTCGCTCCTTGTTTCCTCAGGCCATCCATCAGCCTATCTCCAGAAACTATTTTTGATATTGTGTGTCCACTCACGTACTTCCTCACTCCTAATTACTACACCAAACCGCTCACTCACTACTACTACTACTACGACACTCGACAACACCACTCCTATCGAGTCCTCGAGTGAAACCCGCCTTGTTGGATATTTACGAGCAAGCAGTTCGTCTCATTACCCATATTTAACCTCCTCACGACCTCCGTAGAAAAGCTATCAATCAGCAGCTCACCACTTCCGCAAAACGGTTCTCTACCAGAAAAAACAGCGGTGGTTGCCTCGCGAAAGCTGCTGCCTCCCACAAACCAGGGAGCACCATGAGAAGTGACCGCTCAACCACCTACATGCACTCATCGCCGTCCATTCTCCCATCCATGTCTCCCTCTCTCCGGCCCAATTCCCCTCCTCCCTCCCGCAACAGAGTCCGCATGTCTCCCAAACCAAAACACGCCATCCAGCTGGGCAACCTCCCACGCTTCCACCCAGCCGTCTACCAATCCGCTTCGAACGCTCCTCATAACCAACCTCCTTCCCCGCTCCAACAACGACCCGCCCAGCCTTACAGAATACCATCAGGTTCAAGGGATGCCCTACGTCAGTATCGTGACCTCGTCGCAGGCGTGACTCTTACACCACGAGGCTCTTCAACCAGTGGCGGCACAAAGCCTTCTAAACCACGCATCGATCCGCTGGGCAGTCCGGGCCCCGTAACGCCCCTGGCGCTCGAGGACGATGAGGGTGGATATTTCGTCGCTGGGGCACCGTGTTCTCTGCCGTCGGATTCCAGTGCGAGGAATCATGATGGATCTGTTTCGCCACGGGAGCTTGTTGAGAAACTGATCCAGCGGGAGACGGAGAGGTTGGCGTCCCAGGGCTCGTCTAGGAAGGAGAATAAGGGCTGGTAAAGAAATGGTTGGCCACCTTTTATACTACACTACCTATTTATTCGACCGGCCCACATACATCATCATGGATCACGACTCTCTTTGGTTTCTGCCTATGCATTTCTTCCCAGCCTAGTTCATCTCCTACCATGACGATCTGAACAACCCCCTTTGGCCGCTAAAGTGCTCTCTCCCTCGCAAGTGAACACAGTGAACAGCAACGACAAAAACGGATACCAGTCCAATCGACACTTTATGCAACTTCTCTCTCGCCATTTTTTTGTCATTCGGCCGATGATTTTTTTTCTCAACGACTTGCGAATACCCGCCCAGCTACGGCTTGGCTTGCCTCATGTTTGTTTATCTGAAAAGTACCAAACGACAGCCAAAAAAAGAAAAAAAGCATAGAACCAATGCTGAAAAAGGGCAAATTTAAAGCATGGAGATAGATAAACAGGAGCATGGCACTCGTTATTTTGTTACTGATTTTTCTTTTTTCTTTTTTTTTTTTTTTTTTTCCGTGTGGCATTTGTATACCATAGTGTCGTTTTGTTTCCTTTAATTTTTTTTTTTTTTTTGTGTGTGTGTGTTCGTGTTTTCTTTTGACATATCTATCATCATACCCTTCGACTCTCCTTGTATTTTCACGTTTCGCTCTCACAAACCTACCGCACCGAACGCTGTCTGCTGGCAGCAAGGAGAGGTAAAGCAACCTACCATGGAGTCTATCTCATCCTAAGTTTGTATCAACTCCTAACCTATAACTCCTTCCAACTTGTCATCTGCTGTTTGCGATTCTTTTTTATTTCCTTTTGTATGTCTCTTTCACTTATGTTATTTTTCCCACCATGAACCGCATCATCTGTGCTCTTGAGTGTATATACCCCCCCATTGTTTTTGTCCTATCTTATTTTATTTCCTCTACCTTAACTACAGTTATCAAAGACGATAACCATGGAATCATATCCATTAAATTATTACCATGTCCACTGCCGTGGGTACATGCACCTTACCATTCATTATCCGATTCCATCCTGCCTACCCTTCGCCAATCAACAAACCAGGAAATACTCCCGCCCCTCATACCTCGAGAGTTAAGCCCATCATCCAACCCACGTTTCAGGAGGGATTTATACATACACCACTAAATACACCACAGCTATGAAGAATTGGGTTTAGCTCAGTAATTGGCTTTCCATTAATTAATACATAAACAAATTGGGAATATTATGCACATGCGAAGTTTACTTATCACTGTCTGTCTACCTTGCCTGCCTAATAGCTAACTAGCTGCCTATCTATAGTCTATATGCTTCATTCAGTCTATTTATTCTAGCAGTGCTTATAGCTGAGAAGAACCCCCTGCTATGTACAGAGTAAAAATATATAGAATTAAACAGAGAGAGAAGGGAGACAGAGAGAGCTTGAGACTGCAGAACATTGATTTTTATATCACAAGTTACTTTTTCATTCTTCTTTCAAATCACTTGTGTACATAAGATTTCCCAGTTTTTTTAGAAATAGCTGTGGTGTATGTATAAGATCCCTGATCGATATCCACTCACAAAACCCGTCCCGTCCCACCCACCACAGACCACAGACCAACCACCCGCGCCCGGCATGAAAAAACTCTCTTCCCCACACCATCCTCAATCAAAATAATTGTTACTGCGTAAGAATCGTCTTATTATTGTTATTATTATAAATCCACTCAAACTCCCACCACCCGCCACAACACAACGCGGCAAGCTGCAGAAAAGTTTTGGCCGGGATGAAAGAGATGGGAATTCAAATTCAAAAATAACCCTGTAAACCAAACCCAAAGAATAAGAATATATGATAATGTTGAATAATTAATTGCTCCGCGGACTACTTACTCCTACCTCCTCCGTCCGAGTTACCAGTGTTGGTTCCGTGGAGCCGTCCATGCGCTGTGAGTTAACGATTATTATTATTATTATTAGTAGTATTAGTTAGTATTATTATGGGGCCCACCACCACCGCACGCACCCTGAGGTCCAAATGTTCTTCTCCCCCTTTTAATGTCGTCATAGCGTCTGTCCACACGCCACGGACACCCCGCTACAGAGTGTACTGCGTACGGTACACACCACCCAGGGCCACCCCACCCCGACTTGACCTCGGGACCATGAAAGAAAAAATTAAAAAATTAAAAAATTAAAAAAGACAAACCCCATCTCTTGCCCCCGGCCAGGATCGAACTGGCGACCTTGAGATCGCTAAGTAGTTTTTGCTACCTATCATATTATTTGAATAGGACATGAATATGAGACTCACGTGATAACCAACTACACCACAGAGGCTTGGAGGGGTTAGAAGGTCAGTGATTGGCGGGGGATTTCTGGTGGGGTTTTTTTATTTTTTTTATTTATTTATTTTCAATTATTGTTTTCTTTTACAAAATGTTTTGAAATTAGAAAGATTGTTATGTTTATTTTCTTAATTTTACTATTATTTACCCGAAAACTAGTTGTTGAGGAGTGAAACTCCTACGCGTTGTAGCAATCATAATCACTCTTTATATTTTATCTGTTGTTCAATGCCGGATTTCTTCACTCTCGATGATTCACAGATTGCTAGCATGACAGCTACTCGGTAAAATAAGCCTTGATGGTTGACGAGTAGGTAATCTCGAAAGGTCCGCTGTGACCATGTGAAGAATGCGTAAATGGCGCAAATAAATGCCGCAGAGAGGGAAAGGGGGAACAGGGGTTATAGTGACTAGATATAACACTTCTCAGGAAAAATGCTGGAATGGCGTCATTTATTGTTCGTTGACTACAGCTATGCAGTGGAAAAATGAGGAGGGGTGGTGCTCGAAAAGAGGTCTGTTTGAGTTTGTTGGTGTGGGGATTAATTTGCTTCTGGATGGGCTTTTCGGTGCAATCTCTCAACTGCAGTGGAAGGGTGTGCACTGTCTGTACCTGCACTATGATACCATGTGTAGCGTCTAAATAACAGCAAGGGGGCCGCGGGAATATGAAGCTGTAGAGAATAGCATACTTCATAGACAGAGCTATATATGTCATGTTGAGCAAATATCGGAAAGTTGACCCGTTTTTCGGACGCAGTGTATTCAAGATCTACTCATAGATATGCGATATATGATATGCAAGATATATACTACATACAAACTACTCCTCCACCAGCAACCTCGGCCGCCAACTTAGCGGGGTAACCCGAATAACCATCTGCGGCCGCCCATTCCACACAACCCGCAGCCCAGCATCTCGCAGCACCTGCACAACCGTCTTCCCCACCTCCGCCGTCTCCGCATCGACATCACTCAGCGCCCCATACCGCACACACAACCCGCCCCCGTCCACCGCCCTCTCCGCATCCTGCATGTGGAAATACGCCCACCCCGAATCCCCCACCCGCGCCTCCCGGTGTATCTGCGCATCGCCAGACTGCGCCGTGTAGCAGAAATTCATCCGTGTCAAGATCCCCTTGCTCGCGGCCAGGATCTCAAAGGCGCGCTTGACGCGCTGGAACCCGGCGTCCGCGTCCGCGGGCCATGTCGCCTGCTGCTCCAGCCGCGCCTGCCAGAGCTCGTCGATTATCCGGCGCGATTCGGCGATGATGCGGGGGTCATTGCTGTCGTAGCGCTCATGGTGGAAGAGGTAGGTGATCTGGTCGAGGAGCTCGGCTTTGGTGTATGCTGCGGTGCTGATGATTCCCGCCGCGCCTGCTTTTACGTTGTCGATTGCGTCCTCGTCTATAGGGGTAGGCTCTGTGGTGGTTGGAGGGCTAGATGTTGCGTGCTGATTTTTTAAAAAAAAGAAGCGGGCGCAATTCTCCTGAGGTCAGTGCTGTTACATATATGCTCTCTGGTGAGTCCTGATTACGAGGACTTTATGTAAAATAGGGGTTTCATACCGGCATTGTGTGGGGAGGTGGACGATGAAAAGCTCTGGCGGATGAAAAATCTGCGAGGATGAGAGCACTCGCATTCAACCCTCGGGTTATTTAGTTATCTCCAGGTACACTGTGTGAGTTCATAACAATCATCTCGAAGCTAGCGTGTCCAACTCGTATCTCAGATTTGACCAATAAATACCTAAACAGCACGGTAAGACAGAAAGATGTGAAATTTTAGTCTCTGCCTTAATGTGAATCATTTCCTCCGTTGCTGGTTTATTATTTGATGAAGTTTATCTGACGAGTGGTTAGATGTTAACTGAATTCTTCTTTGCGCAAGTACATCTTTGGAGCATGGATTGGCGTAGCATTTTCTAAGCTGTCAATCCTTCTGGCCTGGTAGTGGAGTTTTTTGTATTCAATGACGGTTGTTTAAGCTCGTTGCACACCGCCAGAGTAAATATCCGCTGCATCTTCCCCAAAACTGGTTGAGTCGAACGCTGCTTAGGCTCCCTCCCTGCCTTTCCTGACCGCTTGGTCTTGCAGAAGCCGGGCATATTTAAACATCGCGATGCCGAACCTCGCTTATTGCATGTTAGTTGGCACTGATTACTACCCCCTTCTCATGGCTACTAACTTACCAGTTATACCAGCACTAGTGATCACTAGTTTATCCTGGAGTACATGCACATGTCTAATTTCAGAGACCTTCAGAAGATAAACAATAGACGATACGTGTTCTAGCTGCCTCTATATACGTCGCGTCGAAGTCTTGGAACCGTCCGTGTATATTACATATCACGTGACACTATATTCGAGAGCATTCCAAGGTTCCCTCCTTTTTCGGCCCGACTAAATTGATGAAGCTTGCTCGGGGTATTTTTCAATATATAATCATTTTTATGATATAACTTATAACTTTTGGGGAAACGAGAAACAGTCAATCGTCTCACGGTCAAGGAAAATCTCAGAGAGTGTTTGGAGCGGGAAAATTGAATTGGATCAGCTTTGCCTCACAACGGGTTGACTGCCATATGTACAACATCTAAATGGAAACACACAGCCGATAGTTTTCTATCTATCTTGTTTCAAATCAAGATCTGGCTTTGGTGCATGCATCGATGTTTTCGATCAACGATAAACTGCATCTGCAATAACCCACCTGGAAGCAAAAAGTACTTTCTCATACGGTCGCTGGACCTTTGAAATCCTAGATTGATATCGGGGAAAATGAGTTCAGCGGATATGAGAAATCAGGAAGCGGATGGGATTCGAGAGAAGCCAGGTGTTGCCAGGTCAAGGGGGAAGAAAAAGGACTACAAAGGGTTTGTGGCGGGTGTGTTTTCTGGCATTGCCAAGTTGAGTGGTGAGTTATTTTGGGCCCCTTGCTTCCTTTTCTCGTCAGCATCCCTACGACAAGTGTCCCATTTTATGTTTCTCGTGACAAGGCAATATATGCTGCTGGGATATAAGGCGAATGTCGATATGATGGCGCTGGACGTATTTTTCTGTAATGAAATTGTTCGTTTTGGTTATCAGATGCCCGCCATTTACATCTGATGTCCTGTACGACAATTCTGAGTCACGGCCGATAACTGACGAGGCTTCCAACACTTCATGTGGGATAATTTATAGTGGGACATCCGTATGTTTAATATCATTCTCACCTGATCTCGGATTTTCCTTCCTGGACGCTCTAGGGCTTGTTCCCATAGGCTCATCGGTTGAGTTCTTTTGACTGATATATTAGCCAACAGATTCGATACCATCAAGGTTCGTCTTCAAACGACAAAATCTGCACAATTTAGCGGTCCTTTAGATTGTTTGCTTAAGACTGTACGGAATGAAGGACCAAGGGCCTTGTATAAAGGTGCATCACCACCTTTGATGGGATGGATGGTCATGGACTCTGTGTTAGTCTTTCCAGTTGAACCCCAGCATCTGTTTATAACTCTTCGTGCAGTACTCTTCTAATCTTGATATAGTATGCTCGGGTCATTAACCCTCTATCGTCGTCTTTTGTTTGAACATGTTTTTGCAAACAAACAATTACGACGAATAATACCTTTTGCTTCAAAGAAAGTTCCAGATCGACTGTCCAGCTTTGGGCACGGCATCGCTGGTGTTTTGGCGGGCTCAACTGTTAGCTTTATAGCAGCACCTGTTGAGCATGTGAAAGCACGATTACAGATCCAGTATGCAGCCGATAAGAAGCAACGGTTGTATAGAGGCCCGATCGACTGCACGAAGAAGATTGTACGTGCTCCTATCAGTGTTATTCATTTTTTTTATTTTTTTATTTTTACTATCTTCACACAATCGAAAAACCCCAATCCACCTATTCACATCAAATTTGTTTTCATAGCTTCGTACACACGGAATCCAAGGGCTTTATCGCGGGTTTTGCGCCACTCTGCTCTTCCGCTCATTTTTCTTCTTCTGGTGGAGCACTTACGACATTTTCTCGCGACTCATGAAGCAGCATACTCAACTATCCACACCAGCAGTCAACTTTTGGGCGGGTGGCTTGTCCGCGCAAGTGTTTTGGCTCACATCCTACCCGTCCGATGTTGTGAAGCAACGGATTATGACGGATCCGTTGGGTGGCAAGCTGGGTGATGGCGAAAGGAGATTTCCGCGGTGGAAGGATGCAGCGGTAGCTGTCGCGAAAGAGAGTGGTTGGAGAGGATACTGGCGGGGATTCCTGCCGTGCTTTTTGAGAGCATTCCCCGCGAATGCAATGGCGCTGGTGGCTTTTGAGGGAGTTATGAGGTACTTGGGATAGATGGGGATACGAAAAAGCATCGAATCCATTTCTGGCGGAGCATTTTGATCATTTTTGCATTTGGGTTATAGATTCTATGCATGGGGCGGATACTAGGACATCGCAATCTGTAATTCTATATAGCAAATATTAGACGGCGGGGAGTAATTCGTGACATGTACATTACATTACAATAAAATACAATAAAGCAGTTTCCACAAATATACGGATTTCCTTCAGATCAGTCACTGGCGCACATTACCCGCCTTTGGTCTCATGGCCATTTCCGTTTCATTCTTGGTATAGACTGACATTGATACCTCAGATGCACATAGCACACATCCAGCTCAGTTTCCCACCTAGCGAATTACCCCTAGTTGAACTCATGAGTTTTGATTTGTCCAGATGATAGTATCGTTTCTGTATCAAGCACAATGCTCCATCTTACAACATTTCAGGAGGCTCCTTAATACGCTAATTATAATATAAAGTTAGTCTCTTGGCACCCGGCTTCCCGACTTCACGGGTTCTTCTTGGCACGAGCCGAGGTTGGAACCCATGTCACGAACCAAACAAGATCTTTAGAAGAACTGACCACATGAACCAACATCGTCCTGTAACTATATATCTCCTCTGGATTTCACAGATGAGGTTTACTCTGATATTCTGTGACAATATAATACTAATACTCAATACTGTTGCACAACAACCCATAATATTGTGTGCAATCGTTTGATTTTCCAGGTCGGATGCGGCCTTAACCTGGGAAGTCCATCCTCAGCATCAACCATGGATGAGTTTACGGCAGACGCCTTCGTCAACCGCGAAGACCCCATTCCTGTCATTTCAGTCTCGTCGCAGCCAGCCGAAGATAGCCCCAGGCCAGCTGGAAGGGACAACGACAATGTTTCTGTTGCATCCGCTCTATCTGCCCGGCGACTGAAGCAAAAATTCCAAGGCATGAAATCCGATGCGAAATCACTGGGTGGTTGGTCTGCTGGGTCCTCTCTTCAGGAACGGCTGTTAACAAAGTATAGTCCTAATATATTGCTTATGTAGCTGTATATACTACTGGAGCTAACTGGCATTATCTTTATTCAGACTATGGCAGCAGGTTTTACCTGGGGAAGATCCTGGGGATGAGTCCGAAGCTGTGGCCGGCAAACCTCCCACTGTCCACGTTGACCGCCCTGCTTTCAGCCTTCCTACAATGAGCAACAACTTCCGACGTTTTAATGCTAGGCATGATTTCCCTTCTTATACCCTTACCGGACAGGATGGACATCTTTCTTTTGCTAACTATTATATAGAATTGGCATTGTATTTCTTTTCCAGGAGCGCGTGACCAACGTCCTGAGCTGGCAAACCCCAACTCACACCTTGTCTTTCCTTTCCGTCTACTCGTTTATTTGCCTAGACCCATACTTACTGATGATTCTCCCATTTGCTGTCTTTTTGCTCTTTATTATGGTCCCGGGATTTCTTGCTCGTCATCCACCCCCGCCCGCCTCTGCATCGACCTCTAGCACTACTGCGTACTACTCATACGATGGGCCGGCTCTTGCTCCAGCACAGACTATTAAACCCGTCTCAGAAACTTCAAAGGACTTCTTCCGTAACATGCGAGACCTCCAGAATAGTATGGCAGATTTTGCGAACCTGCACGATGCCACCGTAGCTCTGTTGTCCCCTGCCACAAACTTTTCTGATGAAACATTATCATCCACCGTTTTCCTCCTACTCACCATCCTATCTGCTATTCTGTTTTTAACGGCCCATCTAATCCCATGGCGTATGCTGTGCCTTGTTGGTGGGAACGCTGCTATTATCGCAAGCAATCCTAGCGTTGCTGCCTTCATGCAAGAAATCGGGCATCAGATGAAAGACGCAACCGCTGAAGCCCAGAGTACGGCCGGCGACGCCTTCTACAACGTTTTCGGAATCCCGATTCCGTCATCGCCGTCTACGCTCCTCACATTACTTAAATCTACTGCTGCAATTTCACTCGATACGTACCCAGAAGAGCGAGAAGTGGAAATTTTCGAGCTCCAGCACAAAACGCTCTCGCCATACACGGCAACTTCGGACTGGGAGTCGTTTGTTTTCACCCCCACTCCCTATGACCCGCTATCTCCATCTCGTATCGCAGGCGATCGACCAAGGGGTACACGGTTCTTTGAGGACGTCAAGGCACCGCCGGGCTGGAAATGGAAAGGCAAGAAGTGGCAGCTGGACCTCGAATGCCGCGAGTGGGTGATAGAGCGGATGATTACGGGTGTCGCGTTTGAAGTTCCGGGTTCCAGCGATAATGCGGTGCCTGAGGAGGTCGGAGGCTGGGTCTGGGATTTACCATTCCACCCTCCTGATGAGGACGCGTATAACAATGATGGCTTAGCGTATGGGGCCAGCTATGAAACCAAGGGGAAAGATAATGAAGCTGAACAGAAAGGGAATTCCAAGGGGAAGGGGAAGCTGGCCAAAGCAGACTTTGAAGAAGGCGTTGCTGGGATTGGCGGGACGGGAGAATGGAGACGGCGGAGATGGGTTAGAGTTGTGCAGCGCGCCAGTGTTGATGACAGAAGCTCTGATACTGGGTAAAATTGTATAATTAGCTGATTTGCGTATGGGGTTATTATGCATAGGAGGTATGATGCCCCGTGTGCTAATTGTATCGATGATGTTACGATTACGAGTCAAATGGATGTTTATGCTGAATAGTTCGTGATACCATCTTTCAACTAGTAGTTATTCCGATGCAGAGTACTCCGTCTTGTACGGGCACGGCTCCATAAACGAGCCAAACTTCATTCTCTACGGAGTACAATTCATCAACACGATATTTTCTTTGAGAACTGCAGGAAATCGACCAAAAATTCCTAAAGTTTTGATATGCAGCTTCTACCCAATCACAATTCTTTGCTTATCCATCACTGCTCCGTAACTACAGCAGCCCCCAATAATACCAAAGCACCAGAATGTTGAATATTGACACAGAATCTCCCATCTCCCCCCTACCCAGCCTAATCTATACCAAACAAAACCAAAATACATATTTCCACAAAGAATGCCACAACCAAACTGCCCACAACCCCATTAGCCATCAGAGAACCCCCCGCCGCCGACGCAGAGCTCATAGGTGCATTCGCTGCCATCGTTGAGGCAGCTGGCGGGGGAATTGTTACCGTAACGTCTACCGTGGAGCGCAATATGGGATCGGTCGTGGCCGTGGATGCATCAGTCGTGCGAGTCGCGTCGTCATCATTGCTGCCGCCGCTGCTGCTACCTGCTGACAGTGTTGACTCCGGGTCAAGAGTGGCCTTGCTAGCATAGTTAGTCGCTGTCGCGAATGAAAGAGTCGAGTTTGCAGATGCAGATACAGATGCAGATACAGATGTGGATAACGCTGCGTCTGCAGTTCTGGTGCCACTTGCTTTGAATTTCACCTCGCCCTTGTCGTTCACGTTATATTCCTTTCCGTCGAGGATGCAGACGGGGTATATGGGTTTTTGAGAGGATGTGTGGCCTGTTATTGATTTTTTAGTATTTTGATATGAGTGTTTGACGTTAGAAGCTGGTTTCTTTATGTCTTTCTCATATAGCTCATGCGTTTCATGCTTTGTCTCATGTGGGGGGAATATTATTTATTAGCCACTTACAGTATGCATGTTTCTTTGTCCCGACAGGATCAGTGTTTTTGAGCCTAGGATTTGTTGTTAGTATTGTCTTTTTCTTTTTCCTTATCTCTCTTCTTCTTCGTGCGAAGAAGAAAACATACGCTTCGCGACAGTCAATTTGTTTCGGCCCTCCCTTTGAGCACATTTTGATCAGGAATGGAACTGTTCCATCTGGCAACTCTCCACAAACGTCCTCCTGGCCCTGCTTGCTAACTATGCAATTCAGCCCAGTTATCACGCCTGGAAATGAAAATTCACTTGAAGGACATTTGTTTCTCGGTCAGCGCATATCCTTCCACGCTAGATTGCCATGGCTGTGGAGTACCTACATCTGTGCGATGGACAGGTGAGAAAGCAGTAAAAGGGTCCCGAGAACCCGAGTCGCTGATAACTTAGGCATTTGGGGCGTCAGCGTCTTGTTGGAACCCGGCGTCAGAATACCAAAAGAGAGCGCGAAGTGTTTTAAATGCCGAAGGGGTACCAAATAGCGAAGAGAGAGGTAGAATAGAGCGCGGCTTGATTAGAAGAGGAGCAATAATTCGAATTCCAACTTCTTATGGCTATGTTATTATGAACTTGAAGGGAAAGAAAAAGGACAAGTCCTGGAAATTATAAACAACTAATATATTTTTTCACTGTAATAGGCATATTAATTGTGAATGCGGTAAGGCGAACCGTGTTATTTCACTCTCTTTATACATGGATGGCTGGATGCGTATTCGGACGTGCACGTTCAAGGCAGCCCACATAATGCCTTTGATTCCTTTTCCCGAAACCAAAGAGAAAGGAGAAAACGGTTGAAAGTCATTAGGGAGTTTCGTCGCTTTCAATTATTTCATATAACCTTTCATTATTCCAAGTCCACTCCGCTATGTCTAGTGGCAACTGCCCGTGGCGAAGGGAGTCATTCGAGCTATCCGTCACCCTTGGGTACAGTGAGACAGGATATGCACATGCCTCGTCATTATGTAGAATAGACCGTGGAAATGAAGTCCCTTCGAAGGGGAGTGCAGATGTATCTCAATACTAACGGTATTCACACAGAGTACCAACGGTAACAAAGATGTCAACTGCGAAGACGATACTCGAGTAGCCATGACCAAAGCGGAACGTCGCATACCTCCAGGGCTGGATTCGTGAGCACCTATAATTAGGTACGAAGAACCAATATTAACTGGCACAATTACCGCATCGGCCAAGGTGTCCAGTAAACATGAAGCTAGCAGCTCCAAAAAGACGCATACGACGGGATCATGTCTATGGCCGACAGAAGAGGAAAAAGGAAAAAGGTCGAGATTCTGCTGATGAAAAACGAAAAGTCCCAACTCCGTAAAACGCCATGCCAAACCAAATCCAGTTCTCCCGTCCTTCTAAATCTCCAAACATCTCTCGTACATTGGTAACCGCTCCCCCGCTAGGCAGCTCCCCGCTTCTCCTTCCATTTCTTCAGTCTCCGTTTTATGTCCCCCTCCGTTTGCTGCATAGGATTCAACCTCCTATCCCTAACCATTGCACCGATATTATCACCATGCTTCGCCACTAGTCTCCCTAGCCATTCCTCCTCGCGCTTGCTCTGCTGTCTGGGTTGTTTCTTCTTCAAGGCCTCCTCTTCCAAAGCGGCTTGGCGTTCCAGCGCTTGAACTATCGCCGACGAGGACATGCTACCTGGGATACTCATGGACGGATTACCGAGACCAGCTTGGCCAACTTCATTCAGCGGATCTTCTAGTGGGTTTGCTTTCCGGCGCTTTCGCCCCGCAATTTCAACCTCGTCGTCGTTCTCTGGGTGAATCACGCGGAGAATCCTCCCTGTTTCTGGATCTCGTTCGACGCGCGCTTCGGTAGGTTTTATCATCTTCAGGATTGTTGAGGAGGGTAGGAGATGTAAAGAGTCTGTATGTTGTTGGCCCGACGACAAATCCGCGAGCTTCTTCTCCGCGCCGCCAGTCGGGGCGTTGAGCTGGGATGCTAAGCCAAGTCGGCGGTAATTTTGGGTTAGGGTTAATTTTTTATCCCTAAGAGATGTTAGATTGGCATGGAAATGTAAAAAGAAAGGAGATCCTTTGGCAGGGGCAGTTTTAAGGAGATTTGATACCAGTTCTGCGCGATGATAGCGTTCCCCAGGACGTTAATTTTCTTGTTCCCATTTTTCAGCCGGTTAGCTCTTTGCTTCACCCTTGGAGCGCCTGAGCGATTCTTCCTTTTTTGTAAAATGCGACCCATCTTTAATCTCGGGTTCCTTTGAGGGTGCTTGTAGCTCTTTGTTGGCTGGTTTCTAGATCCGATGCTGAGGAACAAATTTTTTGGATAAGCTTGATCGTCAATGTTTGCACCTATTCTTGGCATATTTGCACTTGCACACACGGCATGGAGACATCGCTGAAAGAGGAAATCAAGTCACGTGTAGGGTTCAAACCCTACACCACAATTCGCTTAGCGACTTCCGGCCGCGATGAGAACTTTCGATCCAACGCCCGACGACGACAACGACGACAACGACCAGCGCTTGTAGACGCAGAATTCCAGGTGAGAAGGCTATATTCATTGTATGCGGACTCGCGCGCATACGATTTGCTGACATTGTTCAAATTCTAGTCCCTAATTCAAGATGAGTACGTACCGATCCGTCCGCCGGTCCAGAACCACCGCATACTAGGCCTTGTTCGCCATTTAATTATTACGATCAACTGACAGATTGAATAGCGAAGGGAACTTCCAGCTTTGGCAAGCGCCATAACAAATCGCACACTCTGTGCAGACGTTGCGGTTAGTCCGATCTCCTGGAATCCCGCTTGTGCACGAGAGGCATTCGGACATCAACCCCCTTGAAATCCTCACATTTTTCAATATCCGCGATATTTTAGCAGAGAAAAATGATATACTGAACATTATTTTGGACAATTTTGAACAGGCCGTCGCTCTTTCCACATCCAGAAGCACACATGCTCGTCTTGCGGGTATCCAGCCGCTAAGACCCGGAAATGTACGTTGAGTCCCAATATACAATCCATCCGGCACGTTAGAGTAGAAGGGGATCTGCAATCGGGAAGGCAAAAAGATGGTTTTGGAACTTGGTAAAACGGATAGGATATCAGGACGTTTACTTACATCGTTTGTTTTGCCGTCAATAGTCAACTGGGCCGAGAAGGGTCTGCGACGAAGAACCACCGGAACTGGACGCATGCGATATCTCAAGACGGTCGACCGCAAATTCAAGAACGGATTCCAAACCGGCACCCCCAAGGGAGCTCGGGGGCCAGAGAAGCATTAAGTTGCTGCGGGGTTGAAAGAATGGGTTTCCAATGACAATCTAGGCTAAGGGTTGAATTATTTTTTTTTCCTTTTTCCTTGTGGATGGCCGGATTGATTTTCTTTTAACGGTTCAGAGGTGTTTACTGTTTTATTTTGCTAGCGTGCTATCAACATTCGAAAAAGGGGAAACAACTCGTTTGGCCGGATGGGGAGTGAGAAGGCGTGGGGTGGAACATGGCGTGCGCCGTGTACATGAATAGTTTAATGACATGCGCTCTGTGGCCAAGGTGCTTCCTGTTCACATATACCTATCTTGTTGGACTGGGCCCATTTTATCACAACTCGCGCTACATGTTACTTACTCCCCATCTTCGAAAATCGAAGGTCTCTAGCCGTCCGCGTCATTGATCACTTTACTTCTCCAACGGTTTTACGATTCGTTCAATGCTTTCAATTGGAGGTATTGATTCTACTCTCAGAAAAATCTTACACATGTGATTTCATATAACAACCATGATCAACCCGTTCACTCGCCTCTACCGAAAACACGAACCGCACCATCTCCCTGTACAAAGTACAGTACCTCCTTCTCTTCCAAGCCCGCATGATCGTGACCATCTCCTTTCTCCGTTTCTGGAACCCACCCACCCCCTCTACTAATCCGTAGAACGCCACTGACATCTCGCGCAACACCTGTGTCTAAACCTCTCAACTGCATAACCATTCTAGCTTGATGCGCCATCCCTACAACTAAGGATGCATGCTCTATTTCAAGCGGCGTTGGTTGTTGCTCCATAAACTCGGCAGAACCTGCGTGAATCAGAGGCGAATCTGCCGCAAGTGTGACAACCGTAGAATGAACCCGCTAACTCGGGGAATAGGAGAAGAAATCCCACTTAATTAGCCTATCAAATTCGTCCAGGTTCACACCCCGTAGATTTCGTGGTAGTATAGAAGGGGTGTTTTGAGGGATGCAAACCCATTATCTTGGTATATAAGTGTTAACGTACCTGCCGTAACCCGAACAAAAACTCCCCCATCTCCGCCGCCCCAACACCCATTCCCGGACCTGTAGCAGCCAGGAGCAAATCAGGCTGATCCACTATAAGGAGAACATCGTTTTCCACCGGCTTTTCATCAGACGCCGTACCCCCGCTCAAGTCATCGATGGCAGCGGCGATCTCCAGCTCCAGGGAGTCGAGGCCTGCGTTTCCCATACCAGACCATCGAAGTTTCCTTGACGCACTACCGCTACTCTTCCCATGGCTAGTTACGGTTGGAGAACGGCTAGATACTGGCCCTCGAGCTGATAGAGTGGCGTGCGACGGTATCCGCGCGGGGATTGGAGAGCTGCTTGCCACAGGGGGGGCTGGCGCTGGCGCTGGACCTGGGTCTGTTTGTGCGGGCAAGAAGAGTTCTGAGACCCCGTCTATGAAAGCGAAATTGCCTTGTTTTGATAGTCTGGCAAGATCCAGTCCCTAAGATGGAGTGTCAGTAAAGCTTAAATAAAGGTCGTTTGAACATGCCAATGAAAAATTTAATTCATATAGCTGTTACTCATGTCCCCCCACGTATAAATGCGGAACTACCAAAAAATATATAAAAGCAATCATGAGAATTAAGAATGCAACCAAAATGATCCAAACACCAAAAAATTTTCAAGAGAAAAATATCAATAAAATCCATACCAATCTCCTCGCTTCCGCCCTCCAGAACTCCATCCCCCTCAAAAAGCTCACGAGCACCACCCGTCGTATCCCTCTCCGGCCAGCGTTGAACTCCAGCTCTTCTCCACCTCGACCGCTACCGGAAGATAGAGCATCGCATAGGATCCTTAGAACCAACCAATTGCTCGTTGCCCCTAGAACGGAGGTGATTAGGGTGAGTGATTGGGCCGGGAGGGGTGAAGCTGTGTAGGGTGCTAGGAGGGGTGCGGTTGGTATAGACATGTTTATTCGCTTTCTATTCTTCCTTTCCTTCTACTATTCTTGGCTAGAAAGGAGAGGTTTAATTCGAATGAGTAACCGGTTCAGCTTCCTCCCCCTTGTGTATCTGCTGTGCGGCGGGGAAGAGGGTTGTGCGACACTGCCGCGGTTGTATGGTGAGCGGATATATTTATTCGTTAAGTCGATTGATGCGATAGTTACCAAGCTTATTTAAGCTCGAAATATGACGGGATGGAATTGTGAGACGAGAATCGATATGGTAAATATGAGGTACTCTTGACTTAAGATTGCAATCATAAATTAAAAGGTGAATATCAATTATCAGGTGGTTGAATTCCCTCCTACCCCAGAATCAGGTGAGTTTCGTCATTCGAGCCTTGAAAAAAAAAACAGATATTTAAATAAATACTTGCGTCATTGCCAACATCTTCTTATTCAACGCGCACACCACTCATTTCCACGCCGCACTGGTTCGACATTAGAACATGTTTCACGGAAATTCTGTCTGAAAGGCCATTTTGTCAATTTTAATTTTGAAGTTTAATTACGCAAAGAACTTATTACCTAGATGCCCCTCCCCCGGTAGGGTCCTTGAGTGATACCACGACCACAAGTTCAAGCTACCAAATCCCTTACCGCCGCGCAGAACCTTGAATCCCCCCAACAGCATGTGAATGCGCAAGAACATTGAAAAAGTAAAAATGAAAGGATAAATCTAAAGAAGTAGAATGAATTGAAGGAGGGTGCAAGAAAACAAAACCATATCCCAAGGTAGACCTTCCTCCCCCTTCCTGCCCCTCCCTCCTCCCTCCTCCCTCCCCCTCAACACCCCGGGCCGTGGCTATTTCGATATACCCATCATCAATTCATCCCCAAAAGCTGTTCAAGTTCATCCAGTGCTGAAGTTTGTATATCGTGTCCAAACTCGATGATCTCTTCCCTATGTCCTTCTTCTTCTCCTTTGTCTTCTTGACTCCCGACCGCTACAGCCAAACTCCAAGCCGGTTTAGCATTTTGCTTGGTTCTCTGCCTATTTGCATCTCCCACTTGTAAGCCATTAGCTTCACATTGAGTAGCTGGTAAGTAGGAGTTTGCGAAATACGCTTGCGAAACGGATCTAAATTCAATCCCATTCAGATCGAGGGCCCTTGCAGGCGGAGCGATGTTCGGAGTGAGTGGTTCTCGTGCCGGTATGGTAATTTTGCCTTGGATGTTTGGATATGGCAGAGAAATCGACGGAGTGCTGGTATCATCGTTGAAGGCAATAAGTAGATCTGCGCCCTCACCGTTTGGGCCATGGATTTTTTGAAACGATGGGGTAATTATACCCTCATCTTGACCGGCCGGCGCTTCGGGCTTGTCGGATTGTTCACTGAGATACTCAAACAGCTCCTCTTTGGATTCGGAGTCATCGAAAAGCTGCAAGACATCGCCAGCATACTTCAGGCCGCCTTCAGTTTCCGCGTCCGGGGAGACAAGAATATTGATGGCTTTGATAGGTTTGGGAGCGCGGGGAATTTCGACCTGAATAATGGCGGGACACCGTCTGTGATTCAATGGACTCTCAAAACACCCATTCGCGATCTTTCCGAGTACTTGCTGGAGCACCCAAGGGAAACTAATGAGAGGCAACCTTTTCTCCATTTTGTTATTCTCAATGAGGACAGCGGATTTTTCAGCCATAGCCGCCTCCATCTGTTCGCTGGTCACTTTATACATCGCGACGGCAAGAGGCGCGAGGTGTTCAAAGTCGTTACCGCCTGCTTTTTCCTGACAGAGCGTGCTGAACTTCTCCCGCAGGGCGGATGAGATGCGACCAATGTCTTCATGGAATTTGTAGTCATTCGACATCTCCGAATGACTTAGTACGAACGTTGACCAGACTTCGAGTTCGGTTTCGATTTCGTGCCGGGCCATGATCCGCCGCATATCCGTATCGTACTGCATTTTGAGGTCGGTTGCAACGCTCAATAATTTCTCGTCAACCTCAATCCCTGATTTTAAAATCCGCTTGTCGAACTGTGGTCTTTCCTCAGGAGACAAAAACTGGATCTTTGATCGGATATCAATGTGGCTAGCCATATCATACAATTGACCCAGAATTTTTGCAGAACGGTACTCCGCGTTTTTATTTTTCATTTTCCTTTCCATGAAATGGGGCCACACTTTTGGCTTCAGATTTCGAGTCATTCGAACTGGTATTCCAGATTTGTTGTAATCAACTGCTGCGGAATGCAAGGCTGCGAGTTGAATACACTTTTCATCCTTAACCCCATCTTCTTGAAAGTCAGCCAAAGCCATGTGTGCTCGGGCAATTTGTGAAAGACAGCAATTCTGCATATAGTTTACATAGAACTTGGTGATATCGTCAACAGTGACGTCGCGATCCAGAACTTCAGGCTTTGGGGCACAATTGTCCATTGGCTCGTGAAACCAGTCCGTCGGTAACATACTTTTATCCCAGATGACGATATAGTCATCGCCATCCAGGTCACCCCCAGAACATATGTTTGCAAGGTCTCGATCTCCAGTTTGTGGCAGTACAACAACGTCCCTAAGATGGTGCAGCGCAGGGGCATCAACCGCCTTGACAACGCGAATATCTCCCGGATGAAGTGACGGATTTCGAGCGAGAATGCAGAGGCCCTCAATAACAGCGTATTTGCCTTCGCTGTGCCGCCAGACTTGAACGAATATTTCGGGAAGGCAATCTACCCTTTCCTGGTAGGTTGAGTTTGCTTTTGGCCGCGCACTGCGAAAGTATCCTTTCAGGGTCTTGGTCTCATCGATACAGCCTAAAAGAAAGGCCCCCTCATCTATTGCAATCTTGGCCTTCTCTTTGAGATACTTGATTTGCCAAGTACGCCATAATTCAAGTAGGGATGAAACAAATGGCTCCCGTGAGCCCTGAAAGCCATCACGTATCATATCCGCAAGAACCAACGTCATCTGGTTTGGGTCAACATATTTTTGTAGAAGAGAGACAGCCTTGTCCTCGTCAGTCATAGCCTGCTCTAAATTAGCCAACATCATACTGAGCTTGGCAATAAATACTTCATCAGGAGTTCCCAGGGCAGACAAAATAAGAATGAGCTGGCGGTTTAGAGTTGCGTAAGAGAAATGAGAATATCGGATTATTTCGAGCCCGTTATGGGAAGCTGGGAATTTGAATTGACTCCTTCGAATATGTACCTCTCGTTGACGAGCTTCAGGTGAAACTGCGAGAATGCCTTTACAGCCACCAAGCCGGAATTGAAAGACCGAAGGTGGCTCCCCCGATGGAGTTTTAATTCCAAGGTCGCTTTGGATCATCTGAGTCAAAAAATGCGATAAACGACCCACCCCGTCTGAGAATACGTAACCGTTTCGCTCGATATCATCAATCTTCTTAATCTGTACTGGACAGCTAGTAACTGCACGGGTGGTTGAAAAGCATTGTCCTAATCTCGCTGCGTATTTGGCAACAACTCTGATATTATTCAAATCGCCCATTTGAGCACGGATATTGGCAGCGGTGAGATGCGGTAGTGAAGCAAAGAAGTATGCTCCATGCTCCCTAAGCTGAGAGTTGCCGAATGCCAGGAATTCGTACCGTCGATCGCCTATTGTGATACCGTGCTGCAACGTACGCAGGACTCGCGCATAGACTTTTTCCATGCACTGGCTATTGCCGCTATTGTTGGGATATATCTTACCTATGTATTTCTCGTCGCAGAACCGGACACGGAGAAAGCGGTCTGCATGCTCCCGATGGTAGCGGAATACACGATTAGAAGTATCAACAGATGGAATGTCGTAACAAATAGTAGAAGGGGTAACATCAGCACTCCTAATGTAACAACAATGACCCGGGATTCTACCATTGGTCGCTCCTTTGGGAAATGGTATGTTGAATATCCCCATTGGATCGTAATAGATAGTCTTGTTCATGGCAACGTGCTCGAGAAGCTCTTTCGCTTTTTTTTCGCCTAGTTGAACCAGTCGACGGACAAACGTTTCTTCGATTGTGTATTCATTTATGTACCGATGGGACATGCATACCTCTAGCTGATATCGAACAGAGAAGGGAAGGGGAATGTACTCGTCTTCTCCCAAATCTTCTAATGACGATCGAGGTCGTGATCTATGCGTGGAGGGAGCATCAATCCATTTCCAAACTGTAGATATAGGTTCAGCCCTTTCGATGACTTTAATATCATCGGTCTCTAGAATGTTGACATTAAAGTCCTTAAGCGCATTATTAAAATTTTGGAACTTGTTATCATCGCGCAGAGTATTCTCGTGGAACGCAAGTCGAAAAGTTGTCCAGCGCCCTACAAGTCAGGTTAGTAGATCACATTAAAACTTGCATGCCGCGTCACTATCCACATACCAAAGTTAATATACGAATTCTGTTTCCTAAGATTGACCGGCGTGCGAGTGATTATTTCAGGGTAGCGAACAATATCTGTTTGTCGGAACCATGTATCCCGCGAGCTCCAGACATTTTCATTCTCCGGAAAATGTTCCTTTTCTAAGGCGGTAATCTGCTGATGGCAAATTGCTGGCGAATCCAAAGGGATCACCAGGGAGGCCTGTTCCAAGCTCCTTATTTGAAAGATGTTCGTCAGTTGTGAAAACCTGATACAAAACCGAAATGGATTCCCCGGACGTGAATTTTCGGTATTTTCGGAGAGGTTTGCGGAGACCTTCGGTACGTTGACAAATATGCACAGTTCCCGATGTTCAACGTTGAGGACCAGACGAACAGCCCCTATTCTATTTGAGGGAAGAGATCTTAGCCGAAGAAAAGATCTTTCCTCAATCATGGATCCGAAATCCACTGACAGAGCATGTAATTCCTGGGCGAGGTTAGCGAGAACTGAGAGACCTCACCTGACCATGACTTACAATGGTTGCAGGATATTTCACCCCTGGTCTAGTAGGGCTCGCTATTTCTAAAATACGCCTCTGGGTCTCCAAATTGATACCTAATAGCACAGATTCATTGTTTTCAAGTGCCAACTTGTATCTCCTATTGTTCCAGAAGTCATCTCGTGGTGGCGGTCTAACATTATAGTTGAACATATTATATCAGCAATTAACAGTGAAATAAAAGTGACAAAGTGATGTGAAATTGGCTAATCACGCACTTAAATTGAATCTTGCCTTGCCCTTCTCGGTTCCCTTTATAGATCTCAATGTAATCGATATTGCCATATGCGGAAAATGACTTAAACAGCGTGAAGGTATTGGCATTTTTAGGGATTCGAGTTAGTGAGAGCGTAACTGACTCCCACGAAGCCCACTCGCCTTTGATGGGAGAGGTGTTTCTGGAGTCAGTATCTCTGCCCGTAAATCGTGTCGAAGGTGAAGAAACGTTCAACCCAGCTCTGCGACCGGGCCGAGAGTCAGATAAGGGCTCAGGGCGCTGTGCCATTTCTAAGTGTGCATTGGAGGGATCTTGCCTAGAGTTGGAAGCTGAAGTTAGAACGGCGGTGCATTGAGTCCAACACGATTGGGGGTCACTGCACTGCGATGGAGCTAGAGTCTGCTGGCCAGGCGTGCTATTTTGGAAAAGATGAATACAAGAGCAGGGCAGAAGGTTCAAGTAAGGTGAATAAGAAAAAGAATATTCTCTTCGCTTGTAATTTGGGGTGCTGATGAGAGGTGCAGATTCGAGACAGTGTGAGCCAGATTTCCAACATACCCTGGTGGGTAGTAGCCATAGACGTCGACACCGGGGCAACTAGGGAGTTGTGGTCGTTCTGATATAGCCGCTGTTGCTGCTACTAAGTGAGGAGAAAGGAGACTCTGTTGAGAAGATGAAGGAAGATGAAGTGGGGGTTGACAAGAAGGTGAAGAAGGAGAGGAAGAAGAAGAAAAAGGGCAGAGAGGTGTCTGCAGCTGTGTTAATAGAGGAGGAGGATTTGTTGACAGAACCTCAGGTCTTGTGATTTGTATGCGAGACTTGGCTGGAATGAGATGATGGCGACGGCGACCTCTACGCGATAACGCTTGGACGGTTTGTTGCTGTTGCTGCTGCTTGAGCTTCTCCTCTGCCTCCCGTTTCTTTTGTTTCATCTGCTTCTCGTAGGCCGCTTCTTCTCGCATTCTCGCGTTGCGAGGATCTCCCCTCCCCCGGCTTCTCCTGGGCCGCTTCTTCACATGCGGGATACTGGTGGCGGTTGCTGCTACAACATGCTGTAATGGGCAATGAAGAATATTAGCAGCTGTTTAATTCTAAAATGGAATTCTTAGAGGCATGACTGGATGAGACATGGCAACTGTAAGCTTGAACATGCTAGATGTGTCTGTGGGCCTGCACATTTCTGCACATGTAGAAACCCGCATACATTTGGTGCAAGAAACAGAGAAATGCAGAGACATGTCGTGCTGTGTGGTGAATTACTATAAATGAGAAAGGAAAATAAATAGGCATACTTACATTTGGAGCCTCCATCTTCATGCCACTCTTCTATTAATTGAGAGAGGAGTTTGTTCCAGGTTGTCAAAATTACTCGAGCGCGATAGAAGGTAGGAATAGGGCCTCAGCAAAGAGGGGGAAAATAAACACGGAAGAGAGGCTAGTAATGTGTATGTATACCAGCATAGATATATGTATATACTTGTGGTGTATATACGTAAATTTCTTCTCTCTATGCGCTAGGAACACCCCGGATCCTTTACTTTTCCGGGTTTAGATATATAAAACTGTAGTACAAGCACGCGGATTTGCCCGCCGGGGTGTATCATGACCAACGAAATATGGCAAAATTGGCTACATCCGGAAGAACTCGCAAGCAGACGCTTAGATAGGTATATATCATCTGGCCTCGGGAGTTTGGGATAGACGAACAAACTCTCTAGTAGCTAAGCAAACAAGTGGATAATGTGTGATTTGAATGCTGCAGCTACGCGTAGGGAATCTGTTCAACCATAAAAAACTAGATAAACCAGTCAAAATGAAAATAAAAAATGAAGATGAAATGATTCATTTTCTTCAAGGACCGCTCTTGTAATGATGGTCAACTCAAAAGGAGTAACTCGAGTGTGGGGTAACACCCTCAGAGAATATCTAGCGAACAATGGGAAATGGGTTTTACAGAAAGGAAACCCCCGATGAAAGAAAATATACTGGATCTGCCGAGCGAGCATCATATATGCTCCAAATCCTGTCAAAGAAACGAACCCAAATAAAACATGTGGCACTCAAAGAAGACAGGGTAAATTCAACAAGCAAGCTAACAACAACCAAATAAAAGTTGTCGGTGACAAGATGAAACACAAACAGCATTTCATAACTCGCACTTATAGCTGTGAAATATCCACTTGCCAGGCCCATATATTCAACAGGAGTAGGTTGTGTTGAGAGAGGAAGGTGTCCCTGGACTTCCGGGCATTGGGCAACGCGATTTAAATGTTGGTTCCAATAAGATGTAGAGCTCGATGCCGTCTTGATAATGCCTCTCATATAGCGCATTGGACGCAGGCTTCTCACTCTTGTAACAACATGTACGTGGGTGTTGACAAGGAACATTCGGGAGGAGAAGTCTAGTGTTCTGAAGCGTCTTAAGGTCTTTGAACTTGTGCCCAGAGTTGAAAGAACATGGTTACGGAGTAGAGTAACTTACAAGAGACGTCAGTTATACCTTGCATTCAGGTGGCTTATGATTGTTGTTTGCAGTATTGTTTGGAACTTCTTCTCTGTGTCACCTTTGAAGACGGCTATTTATTAATCGATCACTATATTTCTTTGACCACGTGCTGCTCCTTTTTTGTTGGGGGTCCCGGGTTGATCGGCCCTTCTACCAGCAGTGTGCTGGTTACAACTTGTTGTAGTGTGTTAGAAATTTTTACAAAATGGAATGTTTTCAAAGAGTAACTACTCCATAGTGCGGAGTGAGCTTGAAAATTTTTTTGCTGCGTCAAATCGTTCTCTTGGTCCTGTTCTGTGGTTTATTCGGGGTAGATTCGAGCTGGGAATCTTAGATGGGTTGACGTTCGCGAGGCTCAGTTGTCGTTAGCCATTCCTGGACTCGGTTTGCTCTTCTAGTTTAATAGAGGAAGGATGATTCTTGTAAAGAGGCGAAGGTAGATAAGTTACCAGTGGTTAGTTAATTGCTTTCTCTGATGCTTGCCAATGAAAGCTGGTGTGGCGCCGACCATGCAGGCTACTTCATTCTTAGCTAAACTTTGCTAAGACATGATAACTTAGGGCCTGTTCGGTGCGTCCGTGTGTACTCGTTCTTTTTGTACAGATCTCCACTTTTTTTAAAAAGTACAGCCTCAATATCATGACTGTTCAGTGAACAGAGTGTCTGTACTAATAATACAGCTGCTTTTTACAAAGTACAGATGAAAATGATCAGATGTTCAGTGAATTGAGCAGCTGTACTTACATCTCTTATCAAGATCTTATGAATAAGCAGTATTTAACTTTAACAGTGTATAATAGTATAGAATAGCACTTTTAGAGATAATATAGTATAGAATAGTGTAGAATAGCATTCATAGTAAAGATAGTTAACTAATATTAATTAGAAGAAAGTTTATAAAAATATGTTCTTTTTAAACTAACTCTGAACTCTGTTTAAAAAGAATATGTTTTTATAAGCTTTCTTTCTTCATTCTAGAGTAGAGAATAAGATGAAATAATGTGATAATACAACACTGACTTGCTACTAATAATTGATAAATACACTATTTTTAATGAGATTCACTATTGTGTTCAAAAAGTACAGACACACTGAACAGGCCCTTAACTAGTTAACTTATTAATAGTTAACTAATTAATGAAAATGATTAACTTAACTATTATAATTCTCAACAGAAATGCCAGCAGATCAACTAGTGTATACAGAAAACTTGACCTTGCTAAGTGCATTACTTGACCTTGTTATATAATCATGACTCTGACCTTGCACAATACAGTAATAATCAGTTGATAATTAACTTTCAATCTTTTAATTCACTCATTTATTCAGCTTATTAATTAATTAAAGTATGTATAGCTGATTCATAATCAATTTAATAAATAGATAAATTTATATAGAATATAAAGAGATGTTTTACAGAATTTTAAAATATATCAAGATAAAAATATTTAATAATTAATTTTAAATTGATTTTAAATTAATTCTGAATTGATTCTGAATTAATTATAGTAATAAAAATAGATTTAATCTATATATTTAAGTAATTAATAATTGATTGAAAATCAGTTGATAATCAATTCAGTATTATTATTAAATTCAAGAATAATTTCAGTATTAAATTAATTTTAAATTGATTTTGAATTGATTATAGTAATAAAAATAGATTTAATCTTGTAAGAGATCTACACTGAATAGATTAGTATAATATTAATTAGACTGGCCGCCGGGACTATGAATTTCATATTTAGTTCTATTTGGTCTGGTTTCATACATTTCTTGGCGTGAATCCCGCTGGGACTGGCTATTAAAAAAACATGTAAAGTGACTATATATCAGATCTTAAAATGAAACCATGACTTGAAAAAAATGAGAAAGTGATCTCATTTGATTCTATTTAGTCTCATTCTTGGCATAAAGTTACTATTTTTAGACATTTTAAGGTTTTTTTTAGACTATTTTTAATTTTTTAAAAAGTAACACTTTTTGATAACACTTAAATGAGATTTAAAGTCATTTAAAGCAATAAAAATAATTTAAATTGAGAAGTGAAAATCATGATCTCATTTGGAAAATGTGATAAGAGTAGACAGTAAGTCTCACTGAGACAGTATGAGACTACTATTTAATGTTAAAACCATGTAATGAGATCAGTTGAATTGGTAATGAAACTATCAAAAAATCTGGTCCTGGTTTCAGACACGGTCACACGGTTAGTCTAATATTAATAGATCTTATATAAAAAAGAGAAAAATGTTAAAGAAGAAAAAGAAAGAGAAAGTGTAGAAATCAGTGATTGAAGTGAATATCTATACATGTATATAATAATATACACAGTGAAGCTCCGAAGTGAAAGAATCTATATGTGTTTATAACAGCTGAGAATCAGTGATTGAGAATAGCTGAGAATTAAGATGTATATATATAATAGTAAAACAGAAGAATCTATGAAGTGTAATAAAAGAGTCTATATAATTGATCAGATGCAGTCTGTTATATTAGTTTCTCTCTTTCAGAAGCAGTTCTCATCAGTCAAGAACTGCTGTTTCAGATAATATAAAACTCAGAGTTCAAATCAGTTAATTATAGTTAACTCATTTTATAAGATATTATCAGTCACAGTTATAGAATCTCTTATTGAGAATATTCTCAATCTCTCACTCAAGCTCATTATCTTCTTCTATGATGTCTGATAACTGTCAGTCAGAAGTCAGTTGAAAAGAGAATAAATCAGTGACAGCATAGCAGAGTAAGCTTGTATAAAATATATTATAAATCTCTGATAATATATTAAGACAGTAGTTATAACTATCTAGAACTTCTATCACTTTATACTTGATATAATAATAATCTAATGTATGAGATGAATATGTAATTTATATATTCTTAAGATTCAATTATATCAGATCTTCTGTCTTATATTGTTTAGTGAAGTCTCAATGAACATTGATTTAATTCTCTTGATCTTGTTTCACAGTTGCTATGAAGATCTCTGCTCAATCACAGATATCTCAGAGCTTTATTACTAGACTGGCTGCTGAGATCATGAATTTCATATTTGATTTCATTTGATCTGATCTCATACATTTCTTGGCGTGAATCTCACTGAGACTGGCTATCAAAAAAACATGTAAAGTGACTATATATCAGATCTTAAAATGAAATCATGACTTGAAAAAAATGAGAAAGTGATCTCATTTAATCTCATTTAGTCTCATTCTTGGCATAAAGTTACTATTTTTAGACATTTTAAGGTTTTTTTTAGACTATTTTTAATTTTTTAAAAAGTAACACTTTTTGATAACACTCAAATGAGATTTAAAGTCATTTAAAGCAATAAAAATAATTTAAATTGAGAAGTGGAAATCATGGTCTCATTTGGAAAATATGACAAGAGTAGACAGTAAGTCTCACTGAAACAGTATGAAACTACTATCTAATGTTAAAACCATGTAATGGGATCAGTTGAATTGATAATAAAACTATCAAAAAATCTGGTTCTGATCTCAGACACGGTCACACAGTCAGTCTATTTATTACTATATTATCAGTGATCTGAATTGAACTGCAGAGATCTGATATGAACTGTAAGATCTCTAGAAGATTCAATACTTTTATATAATATCTGTATGTAAGAAAGAATGAGCTTACATCTGTTAAAACAGTATCTCAACTGTTGATAGTAATCTCTGTATATAGAAGAAGATCATATCAATCATTTTATAAGTAATTACAGAACTTATAAAGATAATTCTTCACAGTCTGAATTATTCATTCTGATACATTATCAGTCTCAGAGTGATAGACAGTTGAT